CACACACGCACACAGCTCCTCACACACTCACTCACACACACACACGCAGCTCCTCACACACTCACACACGCACACAGCTCCTCACACACTCACTCACACACACACACACACACACACCTCCTCACACACACACGCACACAGCTCCTCACACACTCACTCACACACACACACGCAGCTCCTCACACACTCACACACGCACACAGCTCCTCACACACTCACTCACACACACACACACCTCCTCACACACACACACAGCTTCTCACACACACACAGCTCCTCACTCACACACCTCACACACTCACACACACACACTCACACTCACACAGACACACACTCACACTCACACAGACACACACACTCACACTCACACACACAGGCACACACACAGACACACACTCACACACACAGGCACACACACAGACACACACACTCACACTCACACACAGGCACACACTCACAGACACACACTCACACTCACTTACACACTCACACAGACACACACTCACTCACACACACAGACACACACTCACACACTCACACACAGGCACACACACAGACACACACACTCACATTCACTCACACACTCACACAGACACACACACTCACACACACAGACACACACTCACACTCACTCACAGGCACACACACAGACACACACTCACACTCACTCACAGGCACACACTCACACAGACACTCACACACACTCACACACTCACACAGACACACACACACACAGGCACACACTCACACAGACACACACACTCACACAGACACACACACACACAGGCACACACTCACACAGACACACACACACTCACTCACTCACACACAGGCACACACTCACACAGACACACACACTCACACTCACTCACACACAGGCACACACTCACACACAGGCACTACTGCTTGGCTTTCGGCCTTTCTGGCCGCCCGGAGACGGTATGATGGGGGCAGGGGGGGGATCCAAGATTTAAGGTGACTGATATTGTAGCACCACGTGGAGAACACAGTCTCCCAGGTTGTTTCGTAAGTTGTCTCAAGTTTTCATGTTGTTTTCTTCCCCGGTTAGATTTGAAATTCCTTGACTTCTGTGTACTCAGCACACAGCAAGCACTCAGATTCTTGTGATTTAACCATCTGTGGTTTCGATGAAACTTCCTGTATAAAGTCAAATCCATATATAGACTTGAAGGGTAGGGACATTCATACAGCTCAGATTCCTGGAAAAAGCCTTGTGTGTAGTATTTTAGTTACTGGATACCTTTACAGTCACTTATCTCCCTGCGTATCACCAAGAGAGCTTATGAACGTCGGCCCTTGACCTTACATCTTTGTCAGAGGTCACGGTTGATGCCTGCCTGCAGAATCTGGCCCACAGACGTGCTTGGTTTGGCACACGTCATGCTTTAAATTTTTAAAAAAATTAATTGCCAACATTAAAGAGTTAAGAGGTTCCACAAAGAAGAGCTGGATTTCTGGATTCTCTTGCAAAAATGCAAGACCTGGTAACACCGGAAGGGCATTCCCACATGGCAAGGACGGCTGATGCCAAGCCGTGTCAGCACCTTGGAGGCACCCTCTTCAGAGAGATGAGTCTTCCAGTCTCTCAGCCCCCTGTTGCACCTGCCTGGCCTCGGGAGCCACTTGAGTTTTAAGCCCAGTCTCTGTGTATGGTGTCTCCTTCCTTCCATTTTCCATCTGTCTCTCGGTGACATCACCACATTACCCCAATCTTGGTGAGACATCTTCAAGTAACCACTGACTCATTTCTCTCTTTCCGCCCCCACCTCCAGGCTAGTCCTTCCCAGATCCATGTCCTTCAAAATGCTGCTTCTCTGGATTTCTTCCTTTCAAGGCCCAGTCTGAGAGATTGTTTACTCCTCGGTTGTCAGAATAGCTCCTAATGGGGTTCGCTGAGTCTGGTCTCTTCCTACTTTACCCACCCTGTGTACCAGAGGCCTGAGGAAGCTTCCTGCAGTATTGCTGCTGTTATGTGCCTGTTTTGCTCAAAACTCTTGATGATTCCCTGCTGCCAGCATAGCAATTTCTAAGCATTTTGTAAGCCACTTGGAGAACATTGGTAGCGTATTTAGGATAATGGCTTGTTTCTCCCTTTATTTATAGAAAAACATCTCCACATGAGACTATAATTATTACCATTAACATTTGTTTAGGAGTTTACTGTAGCAAAAGCTTTCATATTTGTTATTTTATCTGACTGACAGTGAATTTTATTACTATGGCAGCAAAAGAGAGAGGCTGAAGGGGTACTTTTTTCTGGGTCCAGGCCCCCAAGGCACAAATTATGGATAAATTGTCAAGCCTCGTGAATTACCTTTTAAAATCTTTAAAAACATTCTTTTAACTTTTTATTTTGAAGTAATTTTAGCTTATAAAAATTTTGCAAAAAATACTCTAAGAATTCTCATATACCCTTCACTCAGCATTCCCAAATATTATTATCATAAATAACAAGACTACAATTATCAAAATTAGGTAATTCATATTGCCACAGTAATATTAACTAATCAACAGACTTTATTCAAATATGAATTAATTTTTAATTACATACAATTTTTACTAAATAATGGTCTTTCTCACAGTAAATAAACTGGTCTTTCACCAGTTAAGTATGGAAACAATCATTTACAAGAAATTCTCAAAACATTTCCCAGTATAGCATTAGCTATGTACCAGATCCCCTTAATCGCCATAAAAACCCAGCAGATGGAGGTTGTCACAAAACAGGGCAGTCTAGTAACCTGGACGCAGCCCCAAGATTCTTCTATGCTTTATTGAGGAGTCCCCAAAAGGACAGCCATGGAATTTTCAATCAGGAACAGCCTGAGACCTTTAGGTCCCTGCTTCACGATCAGTTGGATTCAAGTTATTTAGGGTTCAGGGTTGAGGTAACACTGAGCACTGGGCAAGGCACCCATTATGCCTGGGCCCACTGAACAAACCTTTCTCTTTTCTTTTCAAAAAATGTGTTTTTATTGATTTCAGAGAGAGGAAGGGGGAAGGAGAGAGAGACAGAAACATCAATGATGAGAGAGTCATTGATCGGCTGCCTCCTGCATGCTCCCCACTGGGGATTGAGCCCACAATCCGGGCACCTGCCCTTACCAGGTATCGAACCGTGATCTCCTGGATCCATGTTCAGCCTCTGAGCCATGCCTGGTCTGTCAGATTATCATGGTTTAAAAAGCACTTCTTTCACGTGGAGCTCATGCAAATGAGTTCTGTCATTGTCTGCGATTTATCCTACCTGCAGCTGTTTAAGGCCTATCGTAGTGTGTCCTCTGCTTCCTTCACTCACAGAGGATGGTCGCAATCTTCTCTGCACTAAATAAATAGATACAGAAAACAGAGTGAGTATTGGGAGATTTTAATGTCACCTGTGATCTAGCCTTTTCTTTTACCCAGTTTGTCCATAAGGTTAGTAATCAGAAATTTTAGAGTAGTCTCCTCTTCTAGTGCCTAATTAAATATGCATATAGTTCCTTGTCCATGGACTGTGATTAATCTGTTCTGAATTTAGCTCATCTCCCTGCTGGGCACATTTTCTCTCCCCCTTTCCTCTCCCCCTTCTTCCAGTTTAAAGATGCTAGTTTGTCACTGATTGTTGGGTGTTATGGGATGAATTCTGCCTCCCCATTCATATGTTGAAGCCCTAACCCCCAGTACCTCAGAATCTGACTGTATTTTGAGATAAGACCCTTAAAGAGGCGACTGAGTTAAAATGAGGCTATTAGAATGGGCCCTAATCCAATCTGGTGCCCAGGTGAGGAGATTAGGACACTGAGGAACACCAGGGATATGTCCCACAGAGAAAAGACCCTGGCAAGACACAGCAAGAAGGTGGCCACCATCCAGGCCAGGAGAGAAGCCTCAGGAGCAACCAAACCTCCCGACACCTGG